CCCCAAAACCCCAAAACCCCAAAACCCCAAAACCCCTAAATTAGTGAAAAGAATTGAATTTAAAATTAAAAATGGCTCTAGTTAAAATCCTACTTTTGGCGTGCATTTTAGGACTAGCCTTCTTACAGGAAGATTCCAGAGGGCTTATCACTAAGAAAATGATTAGTAAAGAAACATTGACTTTGCAAGAGAACGAAAAGCAGACGGTCTTGCTTCCTCTAGATGATCTGGGATTGGGGAATTCTACAGGCGTATCTGAAAGACATGCTATCATCGTTGAGATTAAGTCTCTCCCAAATGAACCATCCTCTGTTAAAATGAATAATGTGATTGATGTTAAAGCAAGGATGAATGCTCCAGGTCATTTGGATGAGTTTATCAACATTAAGGATACTTTTCCCCCCTTAAAAGATAAGAAAGAGGGCAATATGATTTATCACTATGTCGTATATGATCTATGCTACCTCTCTCACCAAATAAAAGTGATTCCAAGTATTGAGCTTGAATTTGAATCTCTTGATGGAGTAGTTAAGAGCGAGTACATTGCCAAAGTTGTTGAATTCAAAAACCTTAAAATTAACTGTGTTGATCCTCAAAGTGACTGGTTCTTACCAAGAGAAGATCATGCTAGCTGTCAAACCTGGGATCAGAAGGTTTGGGTTTATGGAGGAAGGAGAAACATTGATGATCAAGTGGTCCCCATGGGAGACATTATGAAATTCGATTCCAAGCTAAACAGGTGGTTTAAAGCAAAGGAAAATTCAAGTATAAAACCAAAACCCAGATATGCCCACTCAATGTTTTGCTACTTCAACTATCTCATTATCTTCGGAGGAATGTCTTACAGTGGAGAGATCTTAGGCGATCTATGGGTTTATGATATCGTCAAAGAGACATGGATATCAGTTATGGATATTAATAACGTTCTCGATCTCCAAATACAGAATATCACAGGATTCATTCCAGAAGCAAGAGCCTATGCATCTTCAATCATGATGAAGGTACTAGGGGCTGGATACCTTGTTGGAGGAAAGAACAGAGAAGGCTTCGCATGCGATCTCTGGGCACTCAAGGTTGACAAAGTTATCCAACACATTGAAGATCCTGAATCAGTCAGTATAGAAAATTTCTGGGTCCAAAAAGATTTCAACCAGGAGATGAAAGAGTTCTGTAGATTTGGTCATTCAGTTGCTGAAGTAACCAACACTACATTTTTGATATATGGAGGAATTGACCAAAACTCTGATGTCATCTCATACCCTGTCTTGTACAATGTGGTTGACCAGACAAGCACACAATTAGACGAAAGAGGTAAGATATTCACAAAAATTAACAATTTTAGGGTTTAAGGGTGGCCCAATGAAGAGGAACAAACCTGCTCTTCTATCCACAGGCAACAAGATGGTCATCATGTATGGAGGCGTCGATCCTGAGAGGAAGGGATACCTCACAGACCTTTGGCATTTGAAGATTGATGACAGCAGCGTTATCTACGAAAAAGTAGAATATGAAACCAAAGGAACAGCCTATATGGTCTCATGGAGGACAGGATTTACAATGGAATATCTTAGAGGCATAAATGATCCACATTTAATAGGTGGATCCTTTGGAAACAACCAGCAATCTCAGGCCTTGATTTCCATCCCAGAGCAAGAATGAGCTAATAAAAATGAGTTTGATACCACGACCTGTTCACCATGCCCAAAAGGAAGTGTTTACAGTCCTAAAATCCAAGAATGTAGATGGTGTGAGCAGTATGAATACTTTGAGGAAAATTTTGATGACTATTTCAAATCGGTCTGTATGCCTTGCCCAAGAGGACTCATTGGAGGAAATTACAGAAGCTGTGTTCCCTGAGCAGGTGGATACGTCTTTGATGTCAAAGTAAAATCTCATTGTAGAGAATGCACACAGGATGAAGTCTGTCCTTTAGGAACCAAGTATGCGTTTGAGAGAAAACAATTCAATGAGCTTTTGAATGATGTTAAGATCAACAATGTTCCAAAAATCATGGATACATATGATGTTAGCGTTGATCATACTGCTACTTATATAGTCCTAATTCTGGTTTTCCTGACTCTTATCTTCTCAATATTGATTGCAATTACTCTTACTGGCTGTAAAGAGAGATTTATGTTTATTTTCAGAGAGATTGACAGTCTTGCTATAACTGGTGGAAGAAGAAAGAAAGTCGTTGGAGGTATTCTAATGATATTCTTTTTGCTCTATCTTTCTCTTATCTTTGCAGGGTATATAATCAGTTTCCTCGTATATAATGAAAGAAGGGAAAGCTCTGAAACTCAGAGTCCCTTTTTACAGAAAGAAATGCCAACTTCATTCGAGATTGAAATCCAAGCTTATGGAAGTAAGGTAAAAGAGTCAAACACCCCATTTTTGATCTATGATGCTACTAAAAATGAAGATCCAGATCCAAACCCTGACGATCTATGTGAGAAGTACAAACAAGAGATCGACCTTCACAATACTGCTTCTGATATGATCAAGTTCTCTTCCTATTTCAGGGGTGCGAAAGTAGGCTCCTTTAAATGTGAACGTAACAGACTGAACGATTTCACTGATGAGTATAACCTAAAAATTGGGTTTAAAGATATTCCAAAAGGTGACATTAAAGACCAGATAATTTACATCTCTCTGAAATCTGACTACTCTTATGCATTCCATTTCTTCAGATGGAAATTTACCTCAGTGTGGAAATATGGATTTGAAGACTACCCGACTGCTTTCTCAGAAATTGAGGGTGTGATGACTCCACAAAAGATGTTGGACTCAAATAAGAACATCACTAAGGCATTCAAAGGACCTGAGCCTACCTCTCTGCATATGTCTCTTATCCCGACCCACTATGTCAACGAGATCGAGGGAAAGAATCACAAGGGTTACAGAGTTCAGCTCAATGAGTTTTCCAGAGGAAGTACTGTTAATAAGAGGAATCTTGTCAACCGCTATATTGCTGGAGGAAGAGATCTCCAAGGTCTCAACATCCAGTTTATAGTGAACAGCTCTGATAGATTCTATCAGGTCAGGATCCAGAGGATCAAGAGCATTCTCGAAGTAATAGCTTACATGCTTGGGTTCCTTGCTGGTTTCATTATCATTGTCAGAGCAGCCAAGTACTACCTTCTTAGAGAGACTTACTTCCTTGAAATCGAGAAACAGTGCGAGCAGTACTATGGAAGACATGATGAGCTCAAATATGAAGAAGAGGATGATGTCACTAATATTGAACTCATGAGGCTTGAGAGAACTCGTCATAGAAATCGTATCTCTGATGAATCCCGAGTCTTAAACACTTCCTCAGAAGGAGTCAACAGAGATTCAATGGCACATAAGGATGAAGACGAGTTCAATGAAGATGATGAAAATGACCTGAAAAAGTTAGCGATCTAAAGTAATTCAGTCTATTATTAATTAAAGGGGTTTTGGGGTTTTGGGGTTTTGGGGTTTTGGGG